GCCGCGGTGATTCATGCACTAATGATGTGGAGGCACTATTTGTATGGTATTCATGTTGATATCTATACAAACCATAAGAGCTTTCAGCATATATTCAAGCAAAAGGAATTGAATTTATGTCAGAGGCGATGGTTGGAGCTACTGAAAGACTATGATGTTGATATCTTATACCATCCAGGGAAGGCGAATGTAGTAGCCGACTCCCTCAGCCATAGATCTATGGGTAGCCTATCAGATTAAGATTCATCAGCTAGCTAATCTTAGAGTTCGATTACTAGATTCAGGTGGTACCGGAGTTACTATTCAAGACACGGCAACATCCTCTCTAGTAACTGAAGTGAAGGAACTCCAGTATGAAGATCTTGTGCTAGCTCACTACAGAGATACAACCCCTCAAAAGGAGAAGACACCATTTGAGATTACAGGAGATGGAGTCCTCAGTTATCGAGGTCGATTATGTGTTCCTAATGTGGCAGGGTTGCACCAGCAGGTTATGGGAGAAGTTCACTATTCTCGTTATTCTATTCATACAGGAGCGATGAAGATGTATCATGATATCAGGGGAATATACTGGTGAGACAGAATGAAGAAGGATATAGCAGAGTTTGTTGCTCAGTGCCTTAATTGCCAACAGGTTAAGATTGAGCATCAGAAACCCGGTGGATTATTGCAAGCTATAGAGATTCCAACTTGGAAATGGGAAGTGATTAATATGTATTTCATCATAGGCTTACCTCGTACCCAGCGTAAGTTAGATTCTATATGGGTTATTGTTGATAGACTTACAAAATCAACCCATTTTTTGCCTGTCAGGACTACGTATTCAGCAGAGGATTATGCAAGGCTTTACATTAAGGAGATAGTATGACTTCATGATGTCCCTATATATATTATCTCAGATAGAGGTGCTCAGTTTATAGCTAACTTTTGGAGGTCCTTCCAAAAAGGATTGGGGACTCAAGTTAGTCTTAGTATAATATTTCATCCATAGACAGACGGTCAGGCCGAGCATACTATTCAGACACTTGAGGATATGCTACGGGTTTATGTGATAGACTTCAGGGGTAGCTGGGATGATCATCTTCCACTTATTGAGTTTGCATATAAAAATAGTTATCATTCTAGCATTCAGATGGCTCCATATGAAGCTCTTTACGGACGGAAGTGTAGGTCTCATATCGGATGGTTCGAGATTGGGGAAACTAAGTTAGTAGGACCAGAGTGGGTACATCAGGCAGTTGAGAAGATTAAGTTGATAAGGGAAAGGCTATTAGCAGCTCAGAGTCGTCATAAGTCCTATGCAGATAATCGACGACGAGACTTGGAGTTTCAGGTAGACGACTGAGTATTCCTAAAGGTATCACCGATGAAAGGCATTATGAGATTCGGTAAGAAAGGAAATCTTAGCCCTCGGTACATTGGACCTTATAAGATTATACGCAGAGTAGGCCAAGTAGCATATGAGTTAGACTTGCCTTCCAACTTGGAGTCAGTACATCCAGTCTTTCATACGTCTATGCTCTGTAAGTGTATTGGAGATCCTTCTAAAGTTATTCCAGTTGATGATGTTCAGGTTACAGAGCAGCTATCATATGAGGAAGCTCCCATTGCTATAATAGATAGACAAGTTCGGAGATTGAGAGCTAAGGATGTAGCTTCGGTTAAAGTACTTTAGAGAAACAATAATGTGGAGGAGATGACTTAGGAAGCTGAAGAAGAAATGAAGACTAGGTATCTCACTTGTTTCTGCTTCCGGAGGAGGATCGAACTGAGACATCACAACCTTTAGGTACGTATATGATACTTGACTCTTATGTTAGTTATTATTATTGGTTGTGTGAGGCCATTGGTGTTATTGATGATTGTGGCCCTGTGTGGCTTTGTATTGTTGGGTTTGTTGTGCAACAGGTTGGTAGTAGTACCGTTACAGAGGAGACTCTGCCAAAAATTCTATAGATTTCTAGGAGTTTAACATTCGAGGACGAATGTTTCTAAGGGGGGAAGATTGTTACACCATGTGCGTCCCAAGATGATGTAATGAATATGATACTTGTTAATCATGATTTAAATGAGTTTAAAGTCATAATATGACTATATATAATGTTTGGATAGAAAATATAAAATTTGGAAAAATCGGATTCAAGTTGCGAAAAAACCGACTAAGGATTTATAACAGAGCTTTTTGAGCAATACATTTTGTGTGATATATGGGGTGTTTTTGGGACATATTATATACAAAATTAAATATCTACGGGTCTAGTTTCTAATGCATTAAACCGTTCATCGATACGACATCGCAGTAGAGAGCTATCCATATTTTTGCGAGACTGTGCAAGTAGCTCGGTTGGGACCCACTTGAGACGACCACCGACCTTACATCTTTTAAAAGATGTTTCGGCCTCATTTCGGGTCATTTCTCACCCAAATTTCGTCCAAACGCTCTCCAAAACTTTCCCTAACATATCCAAAGATCCCAAGAACCAAACTCAAGGGAAATCAACTCAAATCATCATCAAAGATGTTAAAGACTACAAGAGAATACTTCTATGATGTTGTGGTGTGATTGAGGGCTATTGTGAGCTAAGTTGAGATAGGGTATCGAGTTGTAGCTATTTTCCAAGGATGTATAACGTCTTCTTGATTGTGTCTAAGTTTAATCTTGTGTTGGTTGTGTTGTTTGAGTGAAAAACCATAAGATAGCACTTGAAAGAACATGCGATATAATTGTCTTTTTTGTTGGACTGTTTTGTAGCTAAATATATGATTTGTGATGGCTGAAAATTATGAGAAATAATTTGATAATATTATGGCTGTTGTTGTTAAGTTTTTCTAGGTGTTAATTAAGTTGATTGAAGAAGAAATGATGAAAAATAAGTAATTGACGGTAAATATTAAGGTGCTAGACGTATGAGGCTATTTTGGAAGGCATTTTATGGATATTTTAAACTAGAAATAATATAGTACATATAAGTATGATGTTCTGAAGGTTGTAAACTAATTTATGGAATAAGAGTTGGATTCAATTTATATCTTGTTATGAGTAAAAACAAGCTTGTCGCTCAATATGATTGTTAAGATAATCGGAGAAACTCATATTGGATTATATTGTTGTTGTTGCTATTGTTGGTTATAGTTTTTGTTGTTGGGCTATTGATGACCCTTAGTAGTCTTTGGGACGTATTAAAAATAGGGGAGTTGCTGACCGATTTTTCTTAAGCCATACAACTAGCCAAATACGATGGTATGGCATTATATGTTAACGACAATATCATTTCACTTGTTGTAGATGCAAGAAGTTGTGTTGAGCTTGGTTGAGTAATAAGGAAGAGATCATACATGTATGTTAAGGCTATCTATTCTTTTCTTTTGGCATGATCCATATGATACAACGAAACGAGCAAGCATGCCACTTTCACGAATGATTCTATTCCTAGAAGTACTAGGGTTACATATGTTCTTGATTCCCCATATGTCATACTATCATATAGTCTATTCATGGGTCTCATGACATTCCGAGAGATCTTATTGACTTATTTCATTATGCACTACATTCATTTATACATGTATATTGACCCATGACCAGATGGCGTTATATACGCTTATAGTATATGTATATGGGGTATGTGGGAAAGGTTATGGCGTTATATACGCACCACCACCTGATCAGCTGGTATATGTTTATGATTTCACCCACAGAGGTTGAGATGACATGATGGGATGCCCTCAGGGGCTTGATGATGTTATGTACGCATATACCTATACATGATATGGCATTTATACGCATACGCATGACATTATAAATATTTTCATGATTCATAGAGCTATTCAGACTTACAGGTTGAGTTCTTTACTCCATGTTTATTTCATGCCTTTTATATATTAATTTTTATGCCTTACATACTCGGTACATTATTCGTAGTGACGCCCTTATTACCTGGGGGCCTGCGTTTCATGCCCGCAGGTGCAGGTAGACAGGCTAACGGTCCCCCTCTTTAGGATCCTAACTCAGCGAGAGTTGGTGTGCTCCATTTGATCCGGGGCTGCTATTGGATTTTGGTACGATACTTTTGTATACATAAAAGGGTATGACGGGGCTCAGTCCCGTCCTTTATACAGTTTTACACTCTATTAGAGGTCTGTAGACAGTCATCTATAGTTGGNAACAGTTTAGGGGCAAATATTATGTATGACCTACACTTATTTCATGTTTATATCTTAGACGTATGCTTAGGGATGTTCGGTAGGTAAAACTCGGGCACTCGTCAAAGTCCATCGGTTTGGGTCGAGACATTTCCATAATTCAAGTTAGAAGAAATACTCTGAAAGTGAAAATGTGAACATTCAACGTTGAATACAAAATGACCACTCCCTCTCAAGTGAAGCCAAACATATCGAGCTTGTGTTTCTAAAAATAGAAAGGAAATCTCATTTTACTTCAATTAAACTTAAATTTAAAATAAAGAATCTAAATTTATCTGATTCATGTGATATAATTTTCTTTTTAGCTTGTTCCAAAATAGAATGATGGATTTTTATATTAAGAATAATTTAATTTTAAATTTTTTATTTAACTTTAATAAATAATATATAATCACACTAATATTTATAGTTTGTTTCATATACAGTCAAAGTACATCACAAAAATTGGCCGAGAGAGTGCTGCAAGTTAGAATAGGCCGAGAGAGTATTTCATACGTTGCTTTTATACACTCCCTTCTTTCAATTTACGTGAACATAAAAGAATGATCTCTTTGCTTATTTAAAAATAATTTATCTTTATATAATAATTTATAATTATATAAAATATATATATCTTATTTTACACTATAAATTTAAAAGTATTCTCTATTTTTAAATTACATATCTAAGTCAAACGGGCTCTGTTTAATTGAAATTTGGGTAGTACTTGTATAGACGGCACGTAGAGCGTAGTAATAGATTTTATAACAATGAATTCTACGTAAGCCGACAAAACAAGAATAAACACATTCTATTTCTTGTTCCTCCTCCAACCAACACCCCGCACCTCCCTCTGGCCCCCAATCTACATCCTCTTGGTCCTCTACATATATATAGTGTATCTATATATCCATATCCAACTGTCCTTTAACCCCCCAAGAAAAAAAAACAGTATTGTTTCAAGAAAATATAGTTTTAACTAATTGGAAGTTTTCTTGAGTTGGGGGTGAGCTCAATGAACCTTTAACTTGATGAATTTCCTACCAAGATGCTGGAGTTACAGTGAAACAAGTGAAAGTAGGGGAGGTGAAAGTTCAAGTTCCAATTCCAATACCAATGGTGGATTTGGGAAAGATGGGTTGTTGTGGTTTCATGATATTGGAAAGTACGGAAGTGGGGAATACTCAATGGCAATTGTGCAAGCCAATCAGGTTTTAGAGGATCAAAGTCAGATAGAGTCAGGTCCCTTTGGAACTTTTGTTGGAGTCTATGATGGTCATGGCGGCCCTGACACTGCTCGTTATGTCTGTGATCATTTATTTCGACATTTTCAAGGTTCATCTTCTCTTTGTTTTTCTTTTCTTAATGTGTGTTTTGCCAATTTTTGTCTGTTTTTTTACTAGTTAAAAATGTTAAATTTGCTAGTAGTTGGTTAGGTCGATTGAAGTAGGGAAGGTCGATTAAGGCAGATAATGTTGCTTCAAGAATGCTTGTATTAGGGTAGTCTGTCTACGTCACATCCCCTGGGGTGCGGCCTTCCCGGGACTCTGCTTGAACGCGAGATGCTTTGTGCATCGGATTGTTAAGAAATGTTGCTTCAAGAATGAGGAAAGGCTAGGCCTAAGTCTAATTAGTTGAAGTTACAGGTCTGGAGGGGATCCTTTGAGTGAATTCTGCTTTAGCCCCAAGACGTCGGTCTCTAACTAGAAAAGTAAATGCTTGAGCTTTAGTGAGAAGGGCTCCTTTTTTTCTTAATGTGTATTTTGCCAATTTTTGTCTGTTTTGTTAGTAGAAAATGTTCAATTTGCTATGTAAATGAGCTTTAGTCAATCAACTGTGTCTCATTCCTAAAGTAGTTGGGATAGGTCGATTTAAGTAGGGAAGGTCGATTAACAAAGAGATTGTAGTTTCAAGAATGAGGCTTGGCTAGGCCCAAGTCTAATTAGTTGAAGTAGTCCTTGAGTGGATTCCACGTTAATCCCAAGATGTTGGTTTCTAACTAGAAAAATGGATGCTTGAGCTTTAGTGAGAAGGGGCTCTTCCTCTTATTGACTTGATGCACTAACCTTTAAATGAACCTACAGGACAAAAGGAACGGCACCCCTTGGTTATATGAATCTTTTTTATTATTGCACTTTATTTAGGTCCATTTCGTTCTATTACTAGATAAGCTGCATCACTGAAGCTTGTAATTTCTGCTAGCAGTACCATTATGCAATTGAAAAAAATCACTCTTGAGAACCCTCATTACAGAAATTCTGTCTTCAGGTAGTATATCTTTTGCTGATGTCGACTAGTTTGGGATTGAAACAGTGTTACTTCTGTCGTTGATTTTCATTTGTCGTTAAGACTTACTCTTTTAAAGTGTGTGTATTTGTCTACTGGTAGGAAAACGTAACTATGTAAACACTTAACTCAAACAAATGCCCAATATATTTTACAAATGACGAGGAGTACTCATGGATGGAGTTCAAATACTCATGGTTCAGAGACAGAAAAAAGAAATTCCTTCCATCTACTTTGCTGATGTGATCATGTGAAATATTGGAGAAGGGTGGTCCTTACCCTTCATTTGGCTGTTCTGCTCCATTACCATCTTTAACTCCCCAATCTCCAAAAACCAGGGGGCTCAAGTGCTCATGGATGCTACTATTGTTTTTGTAAAATCAGTGTGTCCCTTTGTCCTTCCCCCAAAACTTGGAAACGACGAAATATTTTAGATTTGGCCTTTAGAAATAGAAAGTTTTATACTGGTTTCATGGATTTTAATCTTAACGCAGCAGCATCAGCTGAAGGAAATGGTGTCGTTACAGCGGAGACAATTCAAAGGGCGTTTCTCGAGACAGAGAGAGGGTTTACTTCTCTTGTTTCAGAAAACTGGAATTCTCGACCACAGATGGCGACAGTGGGGTCATGCTGCCTGGTTGGAGCTATATATCAGCAGACACTTTTTGTAGCAAATCTTGGTGACTCTCGTGTAGTCCTCGGAAAGAAGGTTGGAAACACTGGGGAAATTGCTGCCATACAGTTATCAACGGAGCATAATGCCAACATTGAGTCTATTAGGTGGGAGCTAAAAGACTTGCATCCAAATGATCCACAAATCGTTGTTCTTAGACATGGCGTTTGGAGGGTAAAAGGAATAATTCAGGTAAAATCAACTATAAGAAGAGCTCTTTTATAAAATTATGAAAAAAACCTTCCAAGTTCTTCCCATACTCCCCATATTCCTATATTTGGTCCGTGTATAGGATATGCATAGAAACTTTGATGTGTATCTGCAGCTTTAATTATTTACATACCGCAGAGTTTCCACCAAGTTATATCTGAAAAAAAGGCTTTGGTACGAATGATGTTATTGCTAGGGCCTATGGCCACTTACAGTACATAATTTTAAATTGAGCTTACCTCAACTTTTTGCTGGAGAACTACCATATTACGGATGGCCATATGGTGTAATAATGAACTAAAGTAAACTGAATTTTGTGTAGAAAAGTAGATTTTAACTTTCAAGATGACTTCATGCTTTATAGAAAAATTGACATGCCTCTCGAAATATCTACTGTTTCATGGAGTTTTTTTATTTTCATCAATAGGATAAAGAGGTTTTTGTTAGCTGAGATCATTATCAGTCTATGGTTGGTCTTTTTATACCTGCAAGTCATGCTTTCAAATTGAAGTTCTTCTACAATTATTCCTTTTCATGGATACTAGAATTCATTCTCGTAACTTACGTCAAAATCGGTCCCCTTAACTGACTGCAGGTCTCAAGATCCATTGGTGATGTATATCTTAAACATGCCAAGTATTGCAGGGAACCAATAAATGGAAAATTCAGAGTTTCTGAACCCATTAACATGCCTATCCTGTTGGCTACTCCATCAATTTTAACACATCCTCTACATCCAAATGACTCCTTCCTCATATTTGCTTCTGATGGTCTATGGGAGCACTTGAGCAATGAAAAGGCCGTTCAAATTGTGCAGAGTCATCCTCGTAAAGTAAGTTCTGTGCACCATAATATTACACCTTTCCTGCATATTGAGTTCACATTTTAGGGTTAATACGCTTCTCTCATGGGCAGGCTATGACTTCAAATACATGTTTGCATTTGATGATATACATAATTGGTTTTTCTTTTTTGATAATTCAAGAATCATATCTTCAGGCGTTACTCGTCTTCTAGGTTGTCAAGCCCTCTGGCATTCCCCATTAGAATTTCAGATACAGTCTTGTTCCCCTTCCGAGTTCTATTCTCCTTGTGATGTCTTTCAATTCTTGTAAGTAGGGACAATGCCTCTTCTTGATCTCTGTTAAATGAAATGCCCAGACCTTCCAAATCTAGTTTGATATGCGATCACCTGTTTCTACGGTGTGTATTTTATCCATATGGTGAAAGAAAAAGTAACAGAAGTGTATCAAGATATCATGCCTATTTTAGAAGATCACTATACCATATGGATGATAATCAAATATAACTTTGATCCTGGGAGCACACCAGCAATGAAGCTACTCAAGCTTCGAGAACATAGTTGAAGCTCCATTGAGTTGCTCAGTTAAGTTCTGAGCAATCCTGTAAACTCAGCTAAGTTGTATTTGTATCATCTTTCTCTGCTATACCAAATGACAGAAGTCTTATCCTTTTTCTCTTCCACGGTTCACTTTATTTTTATGCAGTTAGATTTTTTATTATTATTCTGTATTAGGCGATGTTTTCTGCTTCTTAATGGATTTAAAGTTCTTAAGTCTTACCGCTCGAGATTTCCCCGTGTGTGTGTATGTGTAGACAGGGGCGGATGCACATTTATCGAAGCGGTGTCACACGACACCGCTTCGTCGCATTTTTTTACTAAATATATGTATTAATACTATGAGAAACGGATAAGTGGGAAAAATGACACCACTTGACATAAATTGTCTCTTGGTGCATTATTTATGTGCTTGATTTTGCTCTAAGAGGTTAGAGGTTTTTTGCAAATATTTGAGAGTCTATGTTGGTAAAAATTGTGATGAAGTAGAACTGAGCTCAGGACCTTTTTAACTTAAGAATAAACTAAACAAATAGACTAAGTTTATTTCTTGTCTAGAAGTATGATAATTAAAGTTATTATTCCCGTTTTTCTATAAATTTTGATACCGCTTACAAAAATTCCTGCGTACGCCCTTGTGTGTAAGACACATATTGCACATTTTGACTCTTTCAAAGAGTTGGTTTAAACTCCTTGGCCCTATTGATATATTCTGGTATGCATTCTTGAATATGAAAAACACATCTTCTCACTGCTTCATGCTCATGATTTTCTTGCAAATACAGGGAAGTGCAAAGAGGCTTGTTAAAGCTGCTCTCCATGAAGCTGCCAAAAAGAGAGAGATGCGATATTCGGATCTTCGAAACATCGACAAAAAGGTCCGGCGTCATTTTCATGACGATATAACTGTCATTATTTTATTCTTAAACCATGACCTCATATATAGAGGCGTTGTGCAAGATCCTCCACTTTCTATACGTAGTGCACTAGAACACTGATTGTTGAAGGAATCAAATATTTTTGAGGTTTTTGCACAACACCAAAATTTTCCTTGATATGCGGCTTCAGGAGCAGCTAGCATCAGTGAAGCAACTACGCTGTATAGGAGTGCTTTTTTTCCTTTGAAGAGGCTTATAATTTGAATTGCTCAAACCTTGTGTAGATGGAGTTCAAGAATAATGCTAATTTAAAAGTTTTGGATACAGTCAACCTCTATGTAACAGCCTTCCTTCATTGTTAATTTATTTTGTATACCAGTTTTTGCTTCTGTATTCAGAAGTTTTTTGTTAATTTTTTTTGTAACATCGTTGCAAGAAAAAGTTCGCCACAAGATAATTATGGCACTTTTGAACTCGAAAGACGATTTTGTTGTGTTCTTATTATTTAATTGGCTGGTCCCCTGATTACAAGAGAAAATAGCTTATTTCCCTTTGAAGAGAACATTTATTTGACCAGTCGAATATTCTGCTAGAATTTAACCTCAGTATTATCTCCTCTTAGATTTTGTGTGTATAGTTCTTTATTGCAGGAATCATATTCTTCACAGAACACAAGGAATATGGTGCCTTGGTTCCAAGAACTTGGAGAACTATTGGGGTCATTTTCCTGTCTTGCAAGCCGAGCTGCAGATTGATATTGAATATCTCATTTTTATTCAATTCATTTTGAGTTTCACCAGCCTTCCAAAAAAAAAAAGGCAAAAAGAATGAAAAAACCCAAACTCGTCTTTGACTACGTGTGCTCCTCTTTTGTCGCTTCTTGCTCCAGTATCTTATTATAGTGAACAACCTCATCTAATTTTGTGTACAGACATATTTCTTACTTTCCATTTCTTTAGCTAGGTGGTTTCCTGCCGAAAGCACAATCTGGAGATTGACAAGTAGGGGCAGATCCAGGAGTTAGAGTCCCTGGATCTGGAGTTCTTTCTAGCTTGAGGAGCATCGCTCTTGAAACAGTAAGTTGAATTCTCTTAATATATACCAGTTCTAATGGATTCTCTCTCTTTCTCTATCTCTCTCTCTCTCTCTCTCTCTCTCTCTCTCTCTCTCTCTCACACACACACACACACGCACGCATACACATAAGGTTGGAGCCAAAAGCAATCCAAATCCACTACATATAAAATATATTTGCCCTGTTGACATACATCCTTGCTTTTCCGCATGGAGTCTTTATTGTTCTCTTAGTTTTCCTTTTTTTTCCTTTTCCAATGTGCATGGCTAACAATAACAACAGTAAGTATTGAAAACAATGGCATAAAGTTCTCTTGGCTACCTATAGCCGAGGATTTGGAAAGGGAGGGGAAAAAGAAAGTAAAAAAGAAACAATGGAATCTTCAACAGAGACACACTAGAATATGATATGAAAGAGGACAATTTCTAACAAATACATTATACAAAATCTGTTGGATTGAGTGAAGATGAAAATTGAGGATGCTATTTTCTATGTGCAACAGACTTAGTAATCCAGTGCTTTACTTTACTAGCTGTGTGAAAAATTGAATGCAAATAATGCAAATCACAAAGAGATACTTTGCATGGATCCTCTAATCAAGAATTCAAGATTAACCAAAACCATAAAAGCCAATGATTGTACAGCAGCCTTGATATCCTAGAAAGAATCAGTTTCTTCAAAGCCAAAACTCGGTGATGACAGCTATTTGCTCCAAAAGTAAATAACAATCATGAAGACAGTAATTCACAAAAAAGAATCTGCAAGAACATGATAAATGCTTTGCTCAGTGAAGGAGATTCATCTTCTACATTTAACCAACAGTAGGTAATCTAATATGTATCTGATAAGTTATTATTGGAAGCAAATACATATGATCTCTCTACCAATAAAACAAAAGCAATACAGGCAGGTTCTTATGCAGCTGATGTAAAAAAAATTATGAGCGCAGGATGTTTCTCAACTTATGACATCTTCATCAGCCAAAACTAGGATCATCAGGCTATGTAAGACTTAGCTTTGTCAAGTTAAGTTTGGATCTCATTAATCAAAAACTTTCAAGAGGTTAACTTACCAAGCCTAACAATCTGAAGAAGAATTTTATTACCATGCAATATGGAATGTAATGCAAAGTTACATCCAATTGCTTGGTAGATTCACAGTTTATGCTGTAAAGATGGGGAAATAACATAACAATAACAATGATGTAATTTCAATGAGCCAGGATTCTAAACAAAAATGGGTTCTTGTGAAGATGTTGGTAAAAGGAGAAGGCCCTTTCCTCAAGGGTATTTGTTACTGACAATAAAAGGAACCTCTCATGTTAGCTATAACTGAATATTCTTGGTTCGGTAATGCTGCAGTTGATCAATTCAATATCTTCTAAGTTCTAACTGAGTATCCTAGTTAATGTTAAGCAGCATTTTCTTGAGGAGCTTTTTGATGCTTTGTCACTGTCTGGTTTTCTTCTCTTGAGGGCTCTAATCTTCAAATTTAGTCCTATTGAGCTTCTGCTTCTTCTATAAGAAAGACCAATAGCTTTCTATTTGAGCTTTTTTCCCTGTCCTGTTATGACAAAAGCTAACATGACATTGTGACTTGTAAGTTGTAACTGAAATGACCATAAGACAGACCACAACGAACACAACGGACGTATATAACATCTTTCTGTTTTAAGATGATAACATCGTTAATCAAGAAAATTCAATTTTACCCAGAGTAACATGCATCTCCAAATATTATGATGTTCTTTTCCTTTTCTACTGTTTGAGTTACTTTATTGTGTTTTTTTTTCTTGTCATTGTTTAAGAGTGGAAAGAACAGACAGTAAAAGCATCATCAGAAACCTCAAGGGTAACGTGCTCTGAGTTATTCTCACTACCATTAAGTCACAATAGCATGTAAGTGATGAAAAATTTATAATAACACACTACTCTTGGAAGCAGTTACTTACATATTGACTTGGGAAGTTTATCACCATATAAACTTGTAGAGGAAATACCAATAGTCTCTGCTTTAATGTATCATAAGCTTTGCACTTCAAAGATTTTCCAGTATAGAATGAAGACTTGAAACCCGACGTCGGAACAGTGGTTCTAGTCTGAAAGTTGGCACCCCAGTTTGCCACCTGTTTGTATCATACATCTCACTCCATGCCTGTACAATCTCATCAACCTTGAACCCTGGAATAGAACAGGTGCAAGATTTTAAAGAAAATCACACAAGAAACAACATAAAAGAACCCATTAACAAAAATCTTATTCATATTTTACCTTCCATAGCAGTTTCGTTGGAACAGTGGTTCTTTATCATGACTGCAATATCTGTTTGAGATGCTCCAGCTAGTTCAAACTTCTCAACTGCAACCTCTAGACATTCTTCCCAGGTTGGTAATCCTATCTTAAATTCCACAACAGAACGTTCGTAGAGAATAGTTCCCCATAACAGGTATATCTGAGACCTCATGTTTTCAGCTTGCTCTTTAGCTTCTTCAGCTGGTTTATCTTTAAGTATACCATCCAAACCCCTTTTCTGCAACTGAGCTTTATATTCATCGTGTTTCGAGATTCCATTTAGACACTGTTCTTCCATCTCTTCCCACATTTCGATCCCTCTTTCTATACTATCCTCAGCCTTGTTATAGAGCTCCAAGATCTCTGCACATGTCCCTGTCTCTAACTCAACTTTACTACCAATCAAATAGTACCAAGAGAGTTTTGCTTGTTCAAACTGCTGTTGACCGAGTGCAAGAAGGCTTTCGTAGAAATCTGGCTTTACTCTAAGAGCTTCTTCATATCTCCTTTCTGCCATTTCATATTCTTTTTCTGCCCATTCATATGCAGATTTAACCTGTTCAGACACCGACTCTCCAGAACCTTCTTCTGTGAAAAATACTTCTTTTCTTGCTCTAGACATATGTACATTTCCCCAATTAAACAAAGACAAAGCTGCCATCTCTTGGAACTGAGCTGAAGCAATTTCGAAGAGCTGTTCCGCTTCTTCATTTGTAACAGTGTCCTCCATAGCTTCTGAATATAATTTCATTCCTGTCTCGTGAAGATCCAGATGTGAATCACAATCCACTCCAACATGATTCTTGAATAGCGTTGCAAATTGGACAATCCAGTTTTGGGGGCATGTTGGCCCTTTATCCAGTTTCCTCCCCTCCTTTGCGACTATAGTTGATCTGCAAATACTGGGATTCACATCTTTTTCAACCCTCATTGCCTCATACATAGGTTCTTTATCTGGACTAACTTCTGTAATGTAGAGTCTTAAAGAACCCTGAGTATCAACAGATGATTCGGCCAACCTGAGCTCATTGGTGCTTGTGATAGTAACCAAGTCACCTTCTTGATCCCTATACTTGATAAGTGCACCCTTCAAGTTTGGAAATCGATCTTGAACTATGTCTCTCACAAGTTGAAAACTGCAACTAACTGGTAATTGTGCACATCTTATATCCTCCCCCAGAACCAACTTCACTGTTCTTGTCGCCGGTTTTTCTTCCTCAACGCTTCTCTTCTCCTCCACAACCACCTTGTCCTCTGTCTTCTCTTCAACCCCATCAACCTTAGCTTCCTTAATCTCAACAGCTTTCTTTCTATCAAATTTATTGTTCTTTTTCTTTTTCATGTTATCCTTCACAACATCAGTAGATAGTAAAAGTGGTAATACTACTTTTTTATCTTCAACATTAAGAAACGTTTCTTCTATTCCCCTTTTAACCTTATCTGCAATCTCCAGTGCAGTCAAATTATTAGGTTCAATACTCAAAACATGCTTCACATCCCTTAAAGCTAAATCAAGCCTATTCAATGATTCATAACACTTTGCTCTCTTCAACAAAGCTTTGCTATATTTTGGAGCAACTTCAAGTGCCAAGTTACATTCATTTATAGCTTTTGGCAACTCCCTAATACCCATTTGCATATAGCAAGTAGCCATATTGCTATGCAAATAGGCAACATCAATATGATTCCTAGGAAGTAATTTGATGGCTTTCTCATACTTCAACATAGCGCCCTCGTGATCGCGTTTCTGAAAAAGCTTGTTTCCTTCTTCCTTCAGTTCTTGAGACATCTTGATAAACACAGCTGTGTCCTCATCAAATGCTTTGGATTTATGCTCTGGAGTAGCTCTACTATGTTTCACATTTCCAGCATTTGTTTTTGATTTTACATGATTTTTCTTCTTCCCTGTGGGCTTCCCCATGATTGTGTACTCCTATAAGCTAATCTCTACAGCAGCCTAAAATCAATGCTTCACAACTTTGATTTAGTCCTAAAAACCAGAAAGAAAGGAAGACAATGCTAATTATTCAACAAGAGAAAATGAATAAATAAGAATGCTACGAAAATAAATTTTGAAAATTAAAGCAATTATATAGAAAAAATCATATAATTGATCTACAATTGATACAAGATTAAAAATGAAATGAAATTGATTGATAGACCCAAAAAAGGGAGAGTAGGGAAGAGAATATATATATGATGTTTGGAACAATGAGGAGAAAGTCCTAATACAGAATCCTTAAAAACATTCAGAAGAAGAAAAATACTCCACTTTTTAGGGCCTGTTTCTTGTCTGATTCTAACACAAAAGATGCATATATGGAATAGAAAGGGAAATGTTGATAGAAAATGAAGGTTTTTCTTTTCTTTTCCCTTCCATATTTGCTGGCTTTCTGCGTTCACGTCATATTCGCTTTTAACAAGACGTGCCTGCATGATTTTGAACAAAGGCTGAGGACCCTCTGAATTTGATTTTATAATTGGTTTTATATTAAAGTAATTTTCAGAATTGTCTTTTTTTTATATTTTATTTTTAGAAGAATGGATGTTATAAATTACTGTATACATGCAAAAAATATAAAGAAAAATTGATTAAACGTATATTTATGGTACTAGACTTATTTTAGAATTACCAAAAAGCCAAATGATTTACTATATAGTCAGACGAAACGAATAGATGCGAGGAAGAAAAGGGGGAAAGGAGAGGGGTTATCCAGTCATAAGGTAGTAACAGTTAAAGATACTAGTAGTAAATTCAGATTAAAAAAAGAATTACAGGGACCTAAATAAAAATTTAAAAAAAAAGGACCAAGATCAAATTGGTAAATCTGATTGATTTCCAAGACTAAGTCTTGTGCGTGGTCTTTTCCGATCAGCTGAGCTTATCTTGTCAAACATTTCGTACTAAATTTCACTTACCACATTCGATAAAAAACTAGATCAGTTGTTTTCTTTCGAGGAGAAATGGTGCCCGAAAACGAACACATTTTGTCTTTCCTTGTGATGAAGCAACTATCACCTTAGAAGATATGTTAGTTTTGGGAGGTCATTCAGAGAATATGTATTAATTTATATTGACTCAGAAAATCATATAAGAATAAATAATCAATTATTGGAGGTTCAAAGTAAACGAGTGAAACTTCATCTCATAAGGCTATTCATGGTTGGTGGTTAGACGAATTTACGGGGAAGGACAGTGACATAGAACATGAAGCCTTTCTTGTTATATGGTTTTCACGATTGGTATTCCTAGGATCCACTTACAATAGCATTGTAAAGGAAGTTTTCTACTTACAAAATGGATTGCAATGGGAAAACTTCTTTACAATGAAAGTGGATGTTAGGAAGATAAATCGTGAAATTCATAAGGTAAGAAAGGCATGTTCTATTTCACTACCTTCCCCATCCCCATGCATTCATCTAACTACCAACCATATGAGAGGGAGTTTTCATTCCTTTAGTTTAAGCCTCCAATAATTAATTATTTGATCTTCTGAGTTAAGAAAATTAATACACATTCCCTTGGTAGAGAAAATTACCTCCCAAAACCAGCATGTCCTCTAAAGTGATAGTTACTCCGCCCAAGGAAAGAGACATGTATTTGTTTTTGGCACCATATCTTCCCAAAAGCTAACAACTAATCTAGGTTTTTACGGATATGGTAAGTGAAATTTGGTGCGGAATCGTAGTTTCCAACTGCAAGAGGACCAGGAGCATTATGCCAATATAAGGATAAATAGGAAAAGAAGTGAAGGAAAAAGTGTATGAGAAACTCAAAAAGATATAGAAGATGATCTTGTAGGAGGAGGAGGACAATGTATTTTGAATAGGAACTAAGTTGATTGTATGAGAAAGAATGAGGAAGGCACAATTTATACTGTTTCATGTGATGTTTGTTTGACTGTAATAAGTAATGTAATCCTTACATAGATTTTATATAATGTAATAATGGAGCAAATTTGGAAAAATAGTCAAAGGTTGTTAGAATACATTTATTTTCTGTCCTATTTCATTAGATGCTTTCCTTCATTTTTATGGGAGGAAATTTATGTTATAGGAACAATTACCTTACAAACTAAAAAATATTAATGAAAATTGAAACTAATAGGAAGAAATACATTTTGTGTTTTAGCTCTATCTTAGATATGCACTAAGTATTGATTTACTATCACGGGCCACATAAGCTCGTGGCCCGCGAGGCTTAAACGATGCTTGTTGGGCCAGTCCGTGGGCCAAATAAAAAAATTCAATATAATTAGGTCTCAAATTTAGTTATTTTTTAAATGATTAACTAATTAACATTGCATATGAAGTGTAGATCTAGATGAAAATAAAGATTTTAAGACAACCTAATTAGAAAGCGGATTTGAATGTGCGTGATGAAGATAATGTGCTCGTGTTAAATGTCACGGTTGCCATGAAAGCTTTTTTAATTAGTTTGTTTTGAATTTAACTTTTAATGAATGAAACACCTTTTTGTGTTTTATTTTAATCTATTGAAACAATGTCAAAAGTTATTAAGATGTGCAGGAGTTTCTGTCCAACGAGATACTTTTTAACTTGTAATTTTTTATTTTTTTTACATTTTAGATTAGAACTTATATTTTTTTTAAAAAAATAAGAAAATGGTGGGCAGCCCGTGAGGGCCGAGACACATATAGGCCCGCTCTAGGCTAAAGCATTTTATGGCCCATCAAAATGGTGCGTCAGCCTGATCCAACCCGCCAAATGCCACGATCTGTGTGGGCTGGGCTGGGTTGGGCCAACTCATATTGACAGTTCTATTTTCAAAGCATCCAATAAGATTAAAATGAAATGGTAAGATTAGAAATTAATTATCCAATCCAAACACAAAAGTGATATTTCTTGAACCAAAGGAGTAATTGTTTTTTGTTATAAATATATTATATTATGGATGTTCATTTAATACTCTATTGTAAATAAACTTCCTGAATAAGGTTATCCATATGGGACTCAGCCGTAAATATGTTTATCTAGTTAGTACTCTATTGGAAATAAGCCTCCTAAAGACGCTTATCCTTTCGGTACTCCGTTATGGATAAATATTACCACTGGTAGAAGATTATCTATATCTAGTACAATAAGCTTATCCTTTCGGTACTCCGTTATGGATAAATATTATCCTTGGTAGAAAATTATCTATATTTGGTACAATAGCAGCTTACACAGCAGCTTGCAGTAGCAGCTTACAAACAGCTTGCAGTTGCAGTAACAGCTTCCTTTCTTCTATAAATAGAGGAGATTTCAGTTCATTATGTACATAAGTTTGAAGTTGAATAATATATTAGTTTCTCTCTATACTTGTCTTTACTTTACAATCTTTATTTTATAATACGTTATCAGCACGAGGCTCTGCCATCTCGAGCAAATATTATCAAAGTATCAGAGGTACGAACTTTCTTTTTCCAAATAATGTCAAATCTTTCTAAACTTGAATTTATAACCCTGGATATATCGGGCAAAAGCTACATGTCTGGGGTGCTTGATGCTGAAATTCATCTTGATGCGATGGGTCTCGCAGATACCATCAAGGACAAAAAATCAAGTATCAAACCAAGACCGTGCCAAAGCAATGATATTCCTATACCATCACCTTGATGAAAGCTTGAAAATGGAATATCTCACTGTTAAAGATCCAGTCATACTGTGAAATAATTTGAAAGATAGATATGACCATCTGAAGATACTCGTTCTTCCACAGGCACGTTATGATTGGACTCATCTAAGGCTACAAGATTTTAAATCTATCAGTCAGTATAATTTTGCTATGTTCAGAATTATTTTCCAATTGAAATTATGTGGTAATAATATTAATGATCATGATATATTGGAGAAAACTTTCACCACTTTTCATGCTTCGAGTATGCTCCTGCAGCAGCAATATCGAGAGATGAGAGTCAAAAAATATTTTGAACTTATCTCACATCTTTTTATAGCCGAGCAACATAATGGGCTATTAATAAAAAATTATGAAAGTCGACCTACTGGTTCTTATCTTTTCCCTGAAGTGAATGAGACGAACTTCCACCAAGCTAAGCGTGGAAGAGGTCGTGGCCCCAGTCGTGGTCATGGCCGTGGTTGGGAAAGAAACTCTAATCATGGTAATAATAATGCACCAAAGAACCCTCCTCACCACCAGCAGTGGAAAAGGAAGGAACAAAATCATAAAGCGGTGCAAGCAACAAATGCAGAAAATGCTTGCTATAGATGTGGAGGAAAAGGGCATTGGTCACGTACTTGCCATACGCCAAAGCACCTGGTTGAGCTTTATCAAGCCTCCCTAAAGAAGACAGAGAAAAATATTGAAGCAAATTTTATTTCTGAAGATAATTTAGACTTCATGCATTTGGATGTAGCTGATTACTTTGCACTCCCGGAAGGAGAAACAAGTCATGTGATCGGTGATGAATCTGTAGAAATATAAATATTTTAATTTTTGTTGNACAAGCTCGAATTCTTGAAGTACCCAGCAGAGTCGCCAGAGATGTCACATCCCCTTTTCTACCCCCAAAAAGATAATGTGGATTAAAGAATTTTTCCAATTAAAGTGACAAAATTGAGTAGGGATTATTTTATTTACAAAGTCGCCACTTGGAATTGATTTTGTTGATGTTCCAAGTCACCTTTCATTTGAATCCCTAATCAAAGGAAGATTTGACTCTATTATTATTAGTCTGCGAAAATAAAGTCCGGGTAAGGAATTCTGTTAATCAGGGCGAAGGTGTAAGGCATTCCCTGAATCCCGTGGTTCTAGCACGATCACTTTTATTGACTAAAATTTGGCTTGAATTAATTTTGGATAAAGTATATTTTATTAGCCTTGAATTACTATCGTCTAATGTCGCTTAAAAATTAATAATTAAATTTTATTAATTTTGTCTTGGAGCGTGTAAGCACACAAGGTTTTATTTGATTATATGTACTAAAACAAGGAACGTGTCGGTACACATGGTTTAAATACAATTAATTTTAAAGAGTCAAGGAGCGAAAATGCACACATGGCTACTTTATTAAATAAATATCGACCAAGGATCGTGTATGAACACATGGTCTACATCTCAAACGTGTCTAAAATTGCCAATCGCTTAAATTAATTATTAAGAAAATGAGCTAATTAATTAGTAACAAAATCTGATTTTTTTTATTAGAATGATACTTTAAATCTTGGTCCAACTTGTTATTATTATTATTATTATTTTTATTTTAAAAAGAAAGAAAATAGGCAGCTATGAAATTATATTGATGTTGGGATGTTGCTATTAAAGAAAATAAAATGAATCAAACTTTGGGTTTAGCTATTGGGCTTAACCAAAGTGAGCACTTTTATGGCCTTTATATGAATTTTCTAAGTTCAAAAGCCCATGTTTCTGGAGATTAATACAACAACCCAATAGCAATACATGTTCAAAATCCTTTAATCAAT